CTGTCTCTTTAAATCTGCCTTTCTTTTTTCCTTTTCTATTTTCCCCCCCATCCGCCTCCCTCTACTAGCACAAGTAGCAGAGCGGTAAGGGCCCTGGAGCTGCAGTGACTGTGCCTCTGAAATATTAATGAGGCCGTGCTCAGCCTCTGCTCCCTCCCCCCGGCTCCCCGCCCTCCTTGGCTGAATGCAGGCCTTGTCCTTGGAACTATCCCCTTCCCTACCGGGTGGGCACAAAGGTGCGTCTGGCTGGGGAGGGTGGCGAGGAGGGCGCCGGGGCCTGGGGTGACTGAGGCGCACAGGGTGAATGCCTCATGGCCAAGGTCACGAGCTGGCCATTCGGGCACCAGCAGCCCCTGAAAATCAGGACTGACCCCAAAGACAGCCGAAGGATGGCTGGAAGCCTGTGAGAGGTGCCAGGCTCTGGCGTGGGGGACCCACTGCACACTTGGCTCTGGCCTCTGGGCCCTCCTGAACACCTGCCCTGGAGGTCTCAATGCACTCACCCTAGAAATCCTCTGACCCGCCCCGCCCTTCCCCCAGTCCAGCTCTACTACAGGCTAGCCACCCCTGTGGGATAGAGGAGGGCCAGAGAAGGGAGGAGCAGACATCCGATGGGTGCTGGGGAGGAGTTTGTGTGTGTTCATGTGCTATGGATTCTGTATGTGAACAACATATGAACGTCCAGATTTATGTGTAGGCATGGGTGCAGGCAAGTGTGTGTGTGTGTGTGTGTGTGTGTGTGTGTGTGTGTGTGTGTACATACACGTCAGCATGTGTGTGTAGGCATGAGCATGCTGGCATGAGTGTGCAGGGAAATGTGGTGAGGGCAAGTGGGTGTCCCTGTGTGCACAAGGAGAAGTCGGGTGCACAGGAGGCGGGGCCCTCCCTTCTCACCCGACGGCCTTTTGTTCTTCCTGCAAGGGGCTTGTGGCCTTAGGAACCAAGCGTTATTGTAAATGTGTGGCAAGTGGGGGTACGGTGTGGCCATTCCAAGGAATCCCCAGGGTGAATCCTTCAGAGACAGCAAGGACCTTTGCGAGAAAGAAGCCATCAGCCTTCTTGATCTGCCCAGTAGCTGTAGATGAATCGGTACAGCAGGTTTGCTTAACAGAAATGATGCCTGGAATGTCTCTTGGAGAAAAGGGCAATTATCTGGATAATTTTCCCAACTCCTCCCTCTCTTCACTGAGGAGGGCGCAGATACAAGGCTCGTTCCCACCACCTGCCTTTCCAGGGCTTAGACATTCATTCAGCACATCTAGTGTTCAGGACTTCTCTATAGAAGGCATAGCCCCCAACCTCGGGTCTAGGGGGAGAGAGGAGATTTCTGCAAGGCAGGGAGCACTGGTCATGTTCATTTTGTCATGGGTTCGACGAGCCAGTCCTAAGCATCTGCTATGTGTGGGTCCCGTGTCAATGATCTGTCCTGAGAATAAAGACCGTAGGAGTGAGGAGGAAGGGACAGAGTGCTGAGGGCAGTGCTTGCTGAACACTTCTCACAGTGGGGAGTCTCGAGGACAAGGGTGCGCTTGGTTAGGTGGGCACTGTAAGGTGGGGGGAGGGGGAACCCAGCAACAGCACGGAGACGGGAATGAACCCATAATGTATAGGAGGCAGGACAGGCTGGCATATATGGAGCAGAGGAAATCTCTGAGCCAGAGAGGGTGGGTGGGATCAGACTGGAGAGGGCCTCGAATGGTAAACGGAGGGCATACTTTGTTCAAAATGGCCCCTTGGCTCTGGGCCCTGGTGGGTAGGGAATGCTTCATGGCTGAGGTGGGTCCTGAGCCGACAATGCTTGGAGGACCGGTAGAGGTTGGACAGATAGAGAGAGGAGCGGGAAAGGCCTTGGGAGCAGCAGAGAGAGCTGGATTGAACCTGGTCAGTTTTCAGGAACAGCCTGACCTGGCTGGAGCTGAGTTTGCCTAAGGGATGAGGGGGGAAAGAAGGCTGGAGGCTAGATGGAGGTGGGCTTGTGAGCGCTTCTAAGGCCAGGCTAAGGAAGCCAGACCTGCTTCCACTGGGAGGAAGTCACTGAAAGGCTCAGGGGACAAGTTGATCCAGGAACCCCCCAGTCAGTGGGGGTCAGGGGTGGGGGGAAGGGAGGCTCTGCTCATCTCCCCTCACCCATGAAGGGGCAATTCTAGTTACCCAGCCCTGGTGCCAGCTGCTCCCTCTCACTCTCCTCCCCAGGCCTGGACTTGGCAGCTGTTTTCTTCCACTTGTGGGAATCGGCTGTGCTATTAACCCCTTTGGTTCCTGTCGCCTCTGTCTACTTTCTGGAGTTTCTGGCTACTTCAGTGTAGATCATAGGTGCCTAGATCTACACCTGAAAGGAAACTCAGAAGCCATCCATCTAGTCCAATCCTCCCTCATTGGACAGAGAGGGAGACAGGAAGATTTAAAGGTCAAGTGACTCATCCAAGGTCATACAAGTCATAAGCATCAGGGACAGGAAACAGTCCTTGATGTCAATAAGAATCATCAATTAAATAGAGCTGCTGAGTAAAAGAGGCCCTGAAATTCCCGACACCACTTGTGGATTTTATGTTCCTTTGCATTATCTGGGACCTCTCAACCACCATACCGCCTCCCCCCCCCCCGAACCCGAAGTTTGCCTTGGGTGGAATTTTGAGAGCATGGGGTTAAGTGACTTGCCCAGAGTCACACAGCTAGTAAGTGGTATGTGTCTGAGGCAGGATTTGAACTCAGGTCCTCCTGACTCCAGGGCCAGTGCTCTATCCACCGTGCCACCTAGCTGCCCCCTGTAGGTGGAATTTTAAGGAAGGAGGACATCAAGGGGCCGGGCAGTATAATACTGTGTTACTATCTGTGTGACCTTGGGCACATCCTTTCCCTCCTCCCCAGACCTCAGTTTCCTCCTCTTTCAAACGAAGGAAGTGGCCTTGGAAGCCCCTTCCAGCTCTAGCTCTGGGCACCTAGGCTTTACTCCCCACCTCCAACTTCTGCTGTTCCCACCCAGCTAATCCTCAATCCTGGCTTAGCCTCAGCCTCCAACTTCTCCCCTCCTACTTCTGAGTGGCCAAGTCATGAGACCGTGCTGAAGGGGGCGCACCATAGAGTCATACTCACCTCTGCCTGATTGGCCTCACACTTCCCAGCTGCTGTGCCTGGTCTTCTCTGCTCTCTTCAAGCCCCCTACTCCACCTGGTGCGGTGAGCGAATGGAGAAAGCCTTGACGACTAGGAGAATGGGGCTGCCATCAATAGAAATGGGAACAGAGTTGGGAGGAAGGAGGGTCTGAAGTTGGCAGAGTGGGTGTGATGATTGATGGGACAAGGGGCTGGTGGAGATGGGAAGAAAGGGGGACTGGCAAGCCCCTCTGTGGCCTCCGAGACGCTAGGGCAATATGGGAAGAGACCTAGAGGGCTTGTGAAATATTGAGGGGAGATGAGTTCTCACCTTCCTTCCTCATGTGGAGAAAGGGAAATAGAGGTGAGAAATAGCTTGATGTACTAGTAAGAAGACCTAGGATCGAGTCTCAGCCCTGCTGTTTACTAGACACATAACCTTGAGTGAGTCAGTTAACTTCTCTGTGCCTTAGTTCTCTTACTTGTAAAATGAGAGTAATTGTCCCTGTAGCACCCCTTGGACCCCCACCCCTCCATCAATGTGTCGTGGTTAATTGATTGGATTGAATTAAATTGAATTGAATTGAACTCCACCAACTCACAGCCCTGCGTATTAGGCTAATTACAGTGGTGGCTCTTGCCATCTCTAGACCTCCCTCTGTATTGTCCCAGCTCAGCCTCACATCTTCTGAGGCCTGGGAGGCAGGAATTTTTGTCTTTATTTTACCCTTGAAGAAAGGGAAGCTCAAGCTCTCCAAGGTCATACAGCTAGCTAGTAATGGCAGAAGTGGAACCTGACCCTAAGTCACCTGAGTCATAATCTAGCCCTCTTTCAGCTCTTGATGAATTTGGGCCTCAAGGAACAGATTAGGACCCCCAAGGAGGTCACCTTGGAGAGAGAGGTTTCCATAGAGTGGCAAGTGGGCGGGGACAGAAGCCTGTTTGTAAGGGATTGAGGAGGTAGTGGGTGGTTGGGAAGTGGAGGCAGGGAGCTTAAACCACAAGTCTGAGGAGTTTGGCAGTGAAAGGGAGGAGAGGTAGGATGGTAGCTTGAGGACCCAGCGGGACCTGGCGAAAGTTTTTCCGAGATGGGGGAGCATATTTGAAAGGCTGAGAAAAGTGAAGAGGAGAGCAGTGAAGAGGAGAGATGAGTGTGTGAAGCAGGACCCCCAGGAGGTAGGAGCAGATGGGCAACAGCCCCACTGTGAGCAGCTGAAACTCTCTCTGTATGCCCCCCCAGTCATCAATTATCGGGCACTTGTCCCATTGGTGTGGGCTGCTTCATTACCCATCATGGCATGCTGTATGTCATGAATAATGTGGCAGAGCCCATGAGTGATGGATGTGTGCATAGATACACGCATCATGTGAGAACAGGCAGCGGGAGGTGGTGATGAGGGGGAGGCTCTAGTACAGGGAGATGGGAGCTCCTGTTTCAAAAGGTCTTCGGCTGTTGGGGCTCAGGGAATCATCCAGGCATTTGGCCCATGGACTAGGGAAACTAGAAACTGGGTAGGAAGAGGGTTGGGCTGCTGAGAACTTGGTCTGTAAAAATTGGGACCACAGATACCCTGACTCTTCAGACTCCAGGGATTTTGGCCATAACTGGGGAAGCCTCAGTCCATTTACAATTAGAACTCAGAGTTTGAGTTAGAACAGAGACTGGAGCCAACTCAGTCCTCTCAGAAATAGGACTGAAACTTGACCTGGAGCTGCTTATGGGGTGGGCACTTCAAACGACCGCCAGCCGTAGTCTTCTCCAAACTAGACCTGGGGCTCGGGGGCAATTTGGTCCACTCAGAGCTTGGACTAGCATGGCCTTCAAGGCTTGGGTGCACTCTCTAGCCTGTCATTTGCTACCTAACCCTCAGGTCTTCTCTGCCCCTTGCCTGTTCTCTCTTTAACCAGGTTTTCCCAGTACGGCGGAGACACCAGGTGTACTAGATTGTGACTGGGATCCCCCCACCTGTCTCAGAGAACAACCTTGTCCATGGATCAGCCCCCTCCTCGGACCTCGACAAACCACAGTGCTTGTGACTGTTGTTAGCTGGCCGAGTTCCCAAAAGAAGATTCCTGCAGACTTCTATATAGCATGAAATCACTGTTGATGACCTCTTAACCAGGCATGTGGGCTAAGACTATCCTTACCCAAAGCCACACACTACCTGATGCTCGTGCAGAGGGTTGGGGGAATTATGCCCAGGAAGGGCCCCGAGGAAAGCTAGCCTCAGTGAAATTGAGTATTTGCATTCAACGATTCACCAAGTAAACAGCCCCAAAAATTTATTCATTGAAACCTGAGTTGATGCGAGTGTCTTTGTAATTTCGATCCCACTCATTCGTGTCTCCATTCTTGTTTTCTCCTTTCTTTTCTGTTCCACCAGGCACTCCATATTTCTGCTTTCAGAGACTGCTCTGCACAGCAGTGTTCCTTTCTGACCAAGTAGTCCTCCCAGCACAATCCAGCCAAGTGCTAGCACTGAGCAAAGAAAGGGGTTACCAATTGTGAAAGCAAGATGGGAGACGTAGCCAACAGCTCTGTCGGTCACCATGCCAAGAACCAGCAGCATGGAGCCAACCGGGCGGGGGGCTTCGGCTGTACGCTGCCGGAGCTCCGCTCCCTCATGGAGCTCCGGGGGGCTGAAGCTCTGCAGAAAGTCCAGGAAACCTATGGGGATGTCAGTGGTCTCTGCAAGAGGTTGAAGACCTCCCCCACTGAAGGTAGGTGTGCTCCACGATCTTCCTGACCCGGGAGGGGGAATGGCTGGTCTTATGAACACAGTCAGCTGGGTGCCAGAGGGCCGCTTCTCCACCTTCTTGCCAGCCCACAAGTCAGGAACCCTCCTGCTGTCCTTCTCGGGCTTCCTCGGGCTGCCTACCATGCCCCCCTTAGAAATTCCCCTTTCCTATCTCCCATCTTATCTGACCTTAGATCTCATCTCTTCAGGATCTTCCTCCTGGTTGTTTTTCGGATTTATCTGATACTGTGGCCTGTATAAATACATTGTGTGGGTGCTGGTGGACTAGGGGACCTTCCCTGAGAAGGTCATAGGATTTAGAGGGGACTTTAGAGGTTATTGCATCCCTCAAATGAGATAATATTTGTGGAGCACTTAGCATAGTGCCTAGCAGATTGTAGGGACTCAATAAATGCTTATTTCCTCCCTTCCCTCCTTCCCCCTCATTTTAAAGAACAGGAAACTAAGTCCAGGTGAATCAGTGATGTGCCAAAAGTCATAGATTTGAAGCGGGAAGGGATCTTGGAGGTACAGTCCCCTCATTTTACAGGTGAGGAGACTGGGGGACGGAGAGGTTAAGTAACCTGCTCAGGGTCACACAGTAAGTGTCTATGGTGACATTCCAACACAGGTCTTCCTGATTTCAGGTCTGACACTCTATCCAAGCTGCCTGTGTGTGTGTATATATGTGTGTATGATTTGGGTTTTTTTCTGTGATTCTGATGGGTTAGTGGGACCTTCTAGAAACAGTGCAAAGGAAAGGGCTCACTTTACACATAAGGAAACTGAGCCTTACAGTAGTTACATGATTTGCCCAAGATCACTCAGGTAGCAAGTTACTGAAGCAGGATCCTCTGGGTAAATATATTTAGAATGGCTGGGTCAGACGGACAGGGGAGACGTCCCCAGCGTGAGCAGTTACCACCTCTCCTTCTGAGCGAAGTGAGCGCTCCTCACCGTGATTCTTCCCCTCTGCACTGGGCGTATGGGCCTTGTTGCAGTTCTCCCTTCACTGGGGTGCATGGGTACCGGGGAAGAGAGAGCATCTGAGCTGGGCCTTAACAAATAGGTAGGATTCGAATATGGGAAAATGAGGAGGAAGGGCATTCCAGGGAGGGAGCACTGTAAATAAATCAGAGGAGGTGGGAGGGAAGGTAGCAGGTACAGAAGGCTGGTTAGGAGACCAGGATACAGGAGACCGAGTTGGAAAAGATCTATTGGAGTCAGATCGGAATGGGCTTTAAATGCCAGACTAAGGATTTTTGACTAGTAGACAGCCAATATCTGTCCTTGAGTCTAAAACCTTAGTGAATCCGATTTAATGAACAATGAGACTGATTTGTTATTCATATAAATGGGTACTTTTTTTTTTGGCTTTTTTGGTGAGGCAATTGGGGTTAAGTAGCTTGCCCAGGGTTACACAACTAGTAAGTGTCATGTGTCTGAGGCCAGATTTGAACTCAGGTCCTCCTGACTCCAAAGCTGGAGCTCTATCCACTGCACCACCTAGCTGCCCCTAAATGGGTACTTTTAAAGTGCTTGAAAACACCCTTCCCCATAGATTAAATATTCCCACTGCAATCTGATTTATGGTATTTACTTGTCCAGCAACCCAGTAATCCCTTTTCCTACAGAGACTGTGAAGGCCAACTCCTGTACAGCTTCTGGGTCAATATTTAAAATCATAGGATCGTAGACTAAAGCTAGAAGGAACTTCAGAAGTCAACATGTGTACTCCCAACCCCATCTCTTTTGTTTTACAGAAAGGGAAACTGAGGCCCAAGGAAGGCCCAAGGTCCAATGTCACACGTAGGATCCTAGAGCTAGGGCTGAAAAGGGCCTCAGAGGTCATCTAGTCTAACGCCTTTGTTTTACAGAGGGTAAACTGAGGCCAAGGGAGGTGAGGTGACTTGCCCAAGGTCACACAGCTCATAAACAGCAGAGCCAGGATTTGAACCCAAATCCTCTGACTCCACATTCGTTGTTCTTTCATACTGCCCCTCCCATTAATATCTACCTGCCATGTCATCACATTCATGAAATTAAATTAACAGAACTAAATCCCACATTAATGAGTTTTGGCTGTGAAATGAGGATAAAGGGGCCTTTGCTGAGCCTGGTTTCCTGTCCCAGGGGTAGGTGGATTTGATTCCATTTGAGATGGAGAGCTTTGGGAATGGTCTGTGCCAAGGCCCTGCCCAGGCCTGTTGGGAAAATACAAAATGAGCTTGGTAGCAAACTAATTGATTCCCACCCCCCACCTTCTACTCCATCATCCTCATCTCCCAGCCTCTCAGCCCCTCTTTCTTATTCCCTACATCCATCTACCTCCCCCCATAATCCTCATCTCCCAGACTCTCACCCCCTCTTTCTTATTCCCCACATCCATCCACTCCCCCCCACTTTCTACCCCATCATCCCCATCTCCCAGCCTCTCACCCCCTCTTTCTTATTCCCCACCTCCATCTACCTCCCCCTCACCTTCTACCCCATAATCTTCATCCCCCAGTTTCTCACCCCCTCTTTTTTATTCCCCACCTCCATCTACCTTGGGTCCCGTGCAGTAGACCCAACAGTGTTTCTACCCTCTAGCCCTTCTTTTCTTATCCCATGGTCCTTATCACTGACCTGGTGATCATTACCACCTCCCAAGTCTCTAGTCTCTCCCAAGGCTCTAGTTTCTCCCCTCCCTACTCATCTTCCCAAACTACCAAATTTGTCTTCCCAAACTCCCTGCTTCCAGCTTTGTGGAGCTAAACCAGCTAAGGCAGGAAAACTGGATTCTCATCTGGGTTCTGCCACTAGTAGCTGTATGGGAAAATCTGTATGGGAAAATCCCTTCATTTCTCGGGGCCTCAGTTTTCGCATCTGTAAAATGGGGAAGAGGGGAATGATAGCCACCCTATCCATCTCACAGATCTGTTGTGAAGCTTGAATGCCATCAGGAGAGTGCTTTGGCAAAGTTGAAAGGGCGAGACAGATGGAAGGGGTGGTGGTTGTTTTTCATGACGAACCCTTCTGGGATCTGTTCCCTGCAGAGCATTTTGAGCTCAGGGGATGTTTCTGGAGAGCCACCCAGTCAGTCACCCGCCCCTTAGGCAGAGCTGTGCTGTGTTCCCAACCCTGACTGCTATCCATCTGCACCCACCTGCTTACACATTGTAGGCCCACCTGCCCAAGGAAGGCCCTGATCCAATCCTGATATTTACATTGGGGCCCACAGACAGTCATTCTCATTTCTTCCCAGGGGCGGGACAGAGACCAAAGGCTCCCTGGGGTGGGGGTGAGGGGGCTGCTTGTCACTGAATATCAGAGTTGGGAGTTGGGGGTTAGGAGATCATCTAGTGAAGAGCTTTTCCAGTCTCAGCTTGAAGGCATTCCATAAGAGGTGGTCTGCACCTTCCCAGGAAGGCAGCGCCCTCTGTGTCTAGATGGCTCTCCTCCTTCTGAGGTGGTCTTAAATTGCAGCGCCAAACAAAATACTTCATGTAGAGTCTGACCAGGACAGATTGCAGCAAGACTAGACGTGACCTCTCTAATCTCAGACAACGCAGCTTAAGACCCCATTCTCTTCCTTGGCTGCCAAGCCACGCTCTTGACTCAATGAACCTCCCCATCCAGCTGTTCTTCAAACGAATTAACCCTGAAGGTGAATTTTTCAAAACCCAAGAGCATGGCTTTTACATTTATTCCCATTAACTTTCTTCTTCCTAAATCCAGCCCAGTGTTTTAGCCTGTGGAGACCTTTGGGGATCCTAACTCAGTCATCCATTCCCTCCTAGCTTTGTATCATCTGCAGATTTAAGAAGCATGCCCTCAATACCTTGATCCAGCCCAGGGCCAAGCACAGATCCCTAGCCTAGGGCACTCCACCGGGACTTCTTCCAAGTTGCCATCAAACCATTTGTGAGTTCCTTTTGGGTGCAACCAAACCTGCAGTATTGAAGTCATCTATGTCTCCTGTCTCTCTACCCTGACATTGCTCCATCTTAGCTATATAGCATTAGTGGGAAGACAGATGTTTAGCTGAAGTCTAGGTAATTCAGTATCTACAGCATTTCCTTGATCAACCAGGCTCGAGTAACCCTGGCAAGAAAGGAAATAAGGTTAGTCTGGCATGATCTATTGTTCTAGCTGAAGCCATGCTGTCTCTTAGACATCACCACTTCCTTTGGGGGTTGTTCATTAACCAGCCCTTTGTCAAGAATTTTGCCAGGAATCAATACTGCACACCCTAAACCTATAGTTTGCAGACTCCATTCTCCTTTCTTTTTGGAAAACCAGAGCACTCTTTGCCCGTCTTCAGTCCTGCTTTCTACAGTCCTTTAAGGCCTCCCTGACAGTGGCTCAGCCATCATAGTCGGCCAGTTTTTTCAGGACAT